TCCAACACACGCAAGTGTCATGAACATCAAAATTATGCTTCTTGCTCTTAAGATGCTTAATGAGTAAGAGAGTCAAACACGAGCTGAAATGGCTGACTTTTTTCAGTTCAGTCTTCCTATAGTAGTGCTTTGCCTTCTATTTTTTTGTGTCTCTCAAAGGTCTAAGTCTTAATCTTTGCGTGTTCTGTAGTTATCATGCTGACAGCACTTCCTTTGGGCTCATGTCTTCCCAAGATGGTGGGAATTAATAAATCATCCAAACTTTATTTTGGCAAAATGGAAGAAGCTCCCCCAAGTGGCTGGAGTGAATTTTATTAATATTATTTTTTTATATCAGTCTCTACATTGATTTCAGGAATTATAGCAGAATGTCTCAGAATAAAATATTAAAATATGAAAGCCCCTCTTGTTTAGGAACATTTAACACAAGGAGTTAAACTTCAGTTTTTGCCCTTTACATTTTTATTTGTGTGTGTGCATGTGTGAGAGGACTGCATAAATGGAAAGATAACCTGAGGGCTGACGGAGGAGCATGTGAGTGCTAATGTTTCTTCTGTCTGAACGTATGGTATTTCTTCCATTTGTTTTTACCCTTTCAATTCTTCTGCCGTTTCCCTGTCATTCTGTGCCGGCCAGGACCTCAAAGCAATGTTGGACCGGAGTGATGAGCTTTGCTTTGCTCATTTTCCAGTGAATCCTGTTTCGTCATTAAAAATTATCTTTGCGATAGATTATTCATAGTTACCTTTATGTGTGAAAAGAAGTTCCCTTCAATTCCTGGCTCACTGGGATTCTTATTTGGAAAATCATCATACTGGATTGAAGAAAGACCTAGCTGTGTTGTATTTTGTTTTGAGTCATTCCGACATCTGTGATTCCTGGAGATCTAAGTGATTGAGATTCCAAAATATTTGACTGCAAATTTGTTCAAATAGTGTGTCTGCTTGAAGCTTTAGGAGTGGCTACTCTTTATCCAAAAAGCAAAAATTCCCTATTGCTTTGTGGCTCTATATTTTGCCATAATATTAAAAGTATGGAATGTGTAAACAACAAACGTGTGTTAGTGGATGTTTCTGAGGAGGAAGAGATGAAAATAGTTGTGCAGAATAGAATGTGAGAACTTGCACTGATTTTGAAATGATTTTAAAACCACAGAATATACATTCTACTCATCGCCACATGGAACGTACTCCAAAATCAATCACTTCCTTGGCCATAAATCAAGCATAAACAAATTCTATGGGCTGAAATATTGCCATGCACCTTCTCAGACCACAGTGGAATAAAAATAAATATCAACACCAACAAAATTTCCCCAAAGCCCACAAAGACATGGACACTCAACAGCATGATGCTGAACAACTACTGGGTCAACACTGAAACCAAAGCAGAAATGAAAAGATTCCTGGAAACAAATGATAATGAAGAAACATCTTACCAAAACCTCTGGGATGCCATGAAATCAGTTCTAAGAGAGGAATTTATATCTCTATGAGCATCCATCAAGAAAATGGAAGGATCAGAAGTTGAGAGCCTAACAAATCACCTAAGGAAGCTGGAAAGAGAAGACTACCAAAACCCTAACTTTAGCAGAAGAATCCGAATCACCAAAACAAGAGCCCAAATACGGAACATAGAAGACAAAAATATCATAGAAAACTTCAACAACAGAAAGTTGGTTCTTTGAAAGAATGAACAAGATTGATGGACCCCTAGCCAGAATGACCAAGAGAAAGCCCAAATAAGTACAATCAGAAATATAAAAATTTGAAATTTCTTTTAAAAATCCAAAGCAAAAACCACAACATGCTAATATGTGTTCATCTGGGGAGGGCAATACGTGTATCTGCTATCCTTTGCAACGTATTTTCAAAGTAAGTATTTAAAAAAAAAGGAGTCTGCTATTGATAATCTGTGATTAAATGACATGTACAGCGGGTAGAATTCATCAGTCTTTCCCCTAGAATCCCGCACCCCTTGGCTGCTGTGCTTTAGAACTCTTATTTCATCCTACGAAACTTTTTCTCTCTGTGTATTTTCTTTTTATGTATTATTTCTCCAATTAGAAAAAAGTAGAGTTACCAAAAAGAAAAGCTGATATAGCAATAGTAATATCAGATAAAAAAACTGAAGGTGAAGAGACCGGTTTTACCTGTTTCACTGGACTGCCAGCTCTTAAACCTTTCAAGAGCAAGACTGTGTTAACTGTCTTTGTATTTCTGGAATCTGCCCATTATCTGTCTTGGGGTTATTTTGCGGAATGTAAGTGCTAAAATTTACAAGCCTGAGGTTGGGTGTCTGAAGATCAATGAAAGACCTACGCTGCTGCTTTTTTTGAAAGTAGGATTTATTGAGAGGACAGAAAAGCTCCCACAGTGGGAGGGGACCCGAAAGGGTTGTCCTCTTTATTCTTTTTTAAGCAGTTTTATGCCGCTGCACCGAATGCACTTCTGTAGGGAATTCCAACTTTTTGAGGTGTGGAGATGGGATAGCCGCTCCACGTCTCCCTTCTTCGAGCACCCAGCTGACTACATTTCCCAGCACCCTGGAAATTAGCTGGAGCCGTGTAAGTTCTCTCAAAGGGCATGTCAACATAAACGATGTGTGACATTTCTAGACAAGACCCACAAAACCTTCCACATGAATTCCTCCATGAGCTTCCCTTTCCAGCTGATTGGGATGTCAAAGCCAGGCCTTGAAGCCGTGAGTTTAAGATGGTGGGACTGACATCAATCTCTTCCTGTGATTACATGGAGAACTGACCCTTAATACTGAACACCTACTCTGGACTGTTTACTTGAGCAAGAAATGACCTTCTATGTGTTGAGGGACTGAGATTTGGGGGGCTGTTTGTTTTTGCTGCTTTTCCTACCTCAACAAATAAAAGTACACAAAATGTAAACATACCATGTAGATAATCTTGAGCAAGTCATGTAACTTCTAGGCCTCAACCTCCTCATCTGTGAAGTGAGAAGACATCTCCTTTGAGTTTAGAAAATTAAGTGATAAGATATACGAAGTATTTTATAAGCTCTAGGCAACAAGCTAGTCACGATAACTAAACAGGGGAGTATTTAAATAAGACAAAATCTACATAATGGACTTAGTGCTTAAGTTAAAAATTGCGATTTTAAGATGCTGCCACGCTTCTTAAGTCTTCTGATATTTCATAATTGATGCTTTTTAAAAAAAAACCTAAACTCTTGTGTGGTATTCAAAGCTCTGAAAAACAGTGGACCCTTTCAGGCTAATGGCCTGCCACCTGCCGTTCCACATTCCACCCTTCCGTACCCTTTCCGGTCCACCAGGCTTCTTACAGTTGCCAAGAGACGGCAGGTGCCGCACTCCTTAGGCCGCTCGCAGCGTCTGAAACGTCCTTCCCTTTGCTGGCCGAACCCATTCTTCAGAGCTCGGGGGTCTAACATTGCCTCTCCCGTGTATCATCCTGCTCTAGAGAGAAATCCCTCTTTTCTACCACTCCAGTCCCACCCGATTTTGCTGTTACCTGTACTACCGAGGACACAGAAGAGCCTGCGTGGCCGCTCGCGCAACACTCGGGCTCCGCTGCAGGCAGGCAGGCTCGGCAGGGACCAGGGCGCCGCGGGCGCGTTTCCGGGAGCGCCGCACTCCACCGCTGAGCGCAGGCCCGGCGCGTGCCTAACGGGCCCCGCGTGCTTGGCTCTGGCCTGACGACGCTTCCCCGTTCGTGACGCACGCTCCCAGAGGGCAAACGCCCCTGACGCGTTGTTAAGTGCTTGAGTCTCGCTAAACGCCACCGGCCGCGCGACGCCAGACTCGCGCCTGGACGCCCGCACGCAGGGCGGGGCAGGGCCCCTCCGAGCGTCTTCGGGGGAGGGCGAGGCCCCTCCCGCTG